AACAGCTGCGGACACGTGTGTGTATGTGTGTGTAATACATATTAAGAAGAAGAAGAACCAAGAAGACACTCAGCATTATATATGTCACATGCATAATACAACTCTCCAAGCTTGGCAAGGCCAGCACGTAACCTAATTTTCATGTTGTACATACTTGTATAACACTTGGGTTTACGAAAAGGTGATCGCATATGACCTCCAAAAAAACCTTATATTTTATGCCACCTTTAAAGAAAGACACGTTGCGTATGAACCCCGATTCATCACCAAACAACGATGGCAACGAGGTGTTGGATTAACCCTTAGTCTATTTTTTGCCTGCTCAACCATGGAAGTGTCGGATTGCTCAAATTATCATAAATAACACTTAAAACAAGACGATAGAACCACAATAAATGTTGAAGGGGAAAAAGAATTTTCTTTCTCAATGACAAGTGTTACATGATATAGAAGTAACGAGAGATCCAATGGTGTCGATAATTGTTGCTTGTTTTGATGATAAAGCAGTATATATAGAAGTCATGATAACTCGAAAGTGAAACTAGAGGCCAGCTTAAAGTACCAAATCTCTGGTGCATACCCATTAGCCTATTTAGCATTCTGCAACTTAAACGAAAGTGTTTATACAACATGAACCAACTTTTAAAATCTCATATCACTTTATAGACTGTGTTGAGTGTTTTATAAGCATAAACTCTTTAGAATTTCATATCATATTGAACCAACTTTTAAAATTGTGCGAGTCTAGCTCAAATAGGGTACAAGGCAGGCACAAGTTGTTACTAGAAGCAAATCATCTCTTTTTCTTCCGGGGTCATTTTTGAAGAAATTTAGAATAGATGAGAAACAAAACATAAAAATGTAAAGAAAAACAAGATGCAAAGAATTAACTTGGTTCTGTACATCGTGCCTACATCTATGGACCAAATGTCTTATGGATTACATCAATCTATTATTGATGGTAACTTTATTCAAGGTCCTCAACCTTATTTATAAGATGAGTAAATACATTAGATAAATATGAGATAAATCATAAATTCTTAGCTATTGGGATATTGATAGATCTTATCATAAATTCTAAAGATAAAAATAAATATCACTCGTGCTCATCATCTATAGTTATCCAAACTAGACAGTGATAGATTTTTTTTTTGGAATTCTATCAATTTTAAGGGGCCAACATATTTTTCACGTCCTCGACCACCCAATCTTGTTTCATTTGTCTTTAGTTACTTTTTTTTTTTTTTAAATGTTTTGTAAACCTTCTTTTTATGGGTAAATTACACATTACCCTCTAGAACTATTACCTTATGAATAACAAACATTCATAAGTTTTTATTTCTATATAACAAACACGCCTAATCTATGTAGATAATAAATTAATTAGTGTACATCTTATCTTGATAGTTACCTTCTATTGCATAATGCAAGGCCAAAAGTTTTAACTGTTCTAATGCAGAAAGAGTCAAGAAAGAGAGATTAATGTTCAAAAGTTTTTATTTCTTAAATTTTTTTTTCTTTTTTTATACTAATTTTTTAAATATTACTTAACATCCCTTGATGGGCTAAAAATTTAATAAACTTTACGATTAAAGAATGACAAACATACTTGAACCTTATTTTGAGTGGATTACACCCAATCCTACCCACTTTTTCCACCTACTTGAGCCCATTCATTACGAAATCACAATGATTCACCTTCTCCGCAACTTTGGTAACATGAAAATAACATTTTTTTCAAAGATTCAACATCCGGTAGGATAGGAAGTTACTGCATGACATGAATGAGTAGTTATTTAATCATGTATAATCCACTTACCCATATATTATTTTATTATTAGACGATTACACTATGTCAACATGATAAAACCCATACACCCAATATTTACTCCCTCCCTTGGCACACTGGTGAGACTCAAACTTGACATCTCAATACAGTACCATCTAAAATATTTCCAAAATTACTTGTGTTGGACGTTGGAATTTCTTTAGTAACTCGTGGTTCTCTTTTTAATAAAAGTAGTAGCACTCTAATTAGTTAAAAGACCAAAAGAACCAATTGGTGGGGCCATGTTATCATTAACTTGCAATCATTTACAATGGTAATTTTTCATGTGTGCCAAAAACACGTATTAGCATAGGTGAAAAAGATCTGGAGTTATCTAATTGTCCTTATAAACCGAGTCGAACAATACAGACTATTTCACAATGGACTTGTTGGAGGCTAATTTAATATCCAAGTTTTGCGATAACCGAGCCAAATTTGAGGACATTTTCCAGATCGTGTACTTTCTTGTGCTTGACCCAAATTCGACTTGGTGAGCTAATTTGCATCCAAGAACTTCAAAAAAATGTCCAAGTTACTCGAACTCGACTCAACTAGATTGACTCATAAGATTAAAGAACCAAACTGGAGCAATTTACAACACTTTTGCTCGACTCATTAAATAATAATGATTTAATATCAACATACATAGTACTGGAAATAGATGGAGTTAGAATGAAACCATAGAAATAAAACCAAACTGAGATTAACTAAGAGACCACCCACGAATATCTATCGCTGATATGCTGGGGATAAATGCAGACCAAAATTAACTTTAAATGAGATAAGAAAAATAAAAAAGGGCATAAAGAAACATTGCTATAGTACAATAGAAGAACAGGATGAAGAAATGAACATGCTTTTATATACTACTAGTGGAACAAAAAGTGTTCTTTCCACGAGTCTGAGGTAGGCATAAAAGCGAGGGCACAGGAATTAAGTTCATGTAGGTAATAAAAATTTAAAAATAGTACTAAAATCAAAAGAAAAAGAACATAAGATTGAATACACGGTTTTGTTTCAGAGACTCCTACAGCTGAATGCCAAGCCCAGTTTTACTCAGTGGTCACTCCACACCCAGCATAAACTACAGGGCAGCATTTCTTGGAACACTTCTAATCTATGAGGCCCTTCAAACAACACCACAATGAGTTCTAATTTTTCTGAAAGGAGAACAATTTTCAGAGCCACAATCACACAATCTCAAGTTTATATTCATTTTGCAAACTTGCTCATGACCTCCCCCGACATTGAGCTTAAAGCCTAGACCATAAAAGAACACCAAAGTTCCTCTTCGAACTGTGTTTCACAAGGAATGGAAAATGTATCATCCTTTCCACGATATTAGCCAACCCCATATTTTTTGCAGAGTAATATGCAAGCAAAAACAAACAATTTTTTCATTATATTCTATTTCTGCATAATTCACAGGGAAATAGAACAATACAACCTTTCAGAAACAATTAACTGTATCCTACCCTGACAAAACTTAAACTCAGAATTGACCAAAGGCTATTTGGCAAGATCATCAATACCAAACAAGCCCACCTTTTAGAACCCATGAAAGTCACAGACACATAATCATAAATTTGAATACTAGTCGTCAAAAACAGTGGAAGAACCTCTCAGCATGCTGCCTATTTCCTTCATCAAGATAAATCAACCTTGCACAAACTAAAGAAAATGAAGCAAGGAGTAGAGATGAAAGAAGAAGAGTGGAAAATGCAGAAAGAGTAAGAAAAAGAAGTGACAACCCACATCTAGGAACCAGTACTTGGCTCAGTCCACCATATCTAAAATACATCTTATCAAAAAGAAATAAAAGACACGAGAACATTGGAAAATGAAAGTTCACAGAGAAGCATAGAAAGACGGGGAAGCGTGGCAAATTTGGTTTTTTTTTTTCGGGGGGACACTGGTCTTAGACAAATAATAGATCGAGCACTAATAAATGTACCAACGGACAAACAATAATGTCAAATTGCAACCTTTGTAAAGATACATATACAGCAATACTACCACCTTTTTCCACTCCCTCCATTTTCTACAGTTCCTCCTAATTCTTCCTATCTATGTGACTTGCAAAACATGCACAATAGACAAATTTTGGAGTATAAAATACACTTACAGTTGAACCTATAGTAGAAGTTAGACCAAAGTTCAGACTTCAATATACCAAGCAAATATAATTGACACAACCCACACACCAGGACAAGTGTGAAGTGAATGTACATTTTGGGTAGCAATGTTGTAGGTTACTGTATCCCCAAATGAGAAACAATTTTTTGTCCAGAAACCACCGTAATGAATGAAAAGGCAACAAGCAGGATGGAAGAGGGGCCACTAAAAATTCATGAGGAACACCGCCTGACAATCCATGTATGAATCTATATGGGCAACATTAAATTCAGTGGCCCATATCTTTTCCCTCGCAAGGCAAAAAACTTGAAACCAATGATACTATAAAAATTACCTGTGAAAAAACAATTTGAGTTTGACCTTGAATCGATTACACTTAGTTAACCATTCAGCTCATAGCAACATGGTGCAATAGCAATGCTAGTCGTCTCAGCAACATCTGGTTGGAGTTGGCCTCAAGAGAAGCTGACCTAAAAAAAGTCAAAGGGGGGAAAATAAAAGGAAAAAGAAAAGAAGAGAAAGAAAGGAAAATAAAGGGGAGAAAGAAAAAAAGAAGATGAGGAAGTAAGGCCCAGGGTTTGATCAACATTGTGGATATGACAATCTTAAAATTCATAAAAATAGCATTCATCTCACACAATATTCAGCTATTACTCTCAAAAAATTTTAAGATTCAGTGGGCTGCCCTAACAGTAAAAGCTCCAGACATTTAATTACCAAAATCTGCAGCTGCATACCTTCATATACCATCAGAGAAACAACCCTGCCAAATTGATCAGATAAAGCGCCAAAGAAACCAGCCCATGGAACCTGCACGTGTTTGGAATGTAACAGGCCCGCCAAGCCATTAAAGGTAAACAAAATGGAATGTATTATCTTCCCCAAAGAAATTGTATGCAGCAACTTATATTGATCAGATAGCCCTGGAATCAATCAAGAAGTGGATCCCCCTTCCCACATACATAAAGGCCCATCGGACTTAAATTGGAAAAAAAGTAACCGTTAAGGGATTATAAGATTCAAACAAATGACAGAACATGCAGGGTCACAATTATCCTTGAACTGACAATTCAATCAGAAATTCACTAGCTAATAATAGGGATAATAGTCCAACATACATCATCCCGATTAAGAAGTTCGCTAAAGACATTGCACAGTCAATTCCAGACGAGGAGAAGAACACTTCTTGAAAAACCTTGACTATCTCACGATCAGCTGACACAGTATAGCCAATCCATTCCTCATAGGACCTGCAAAAGAAAACAAACAGAAAGAGCATATTCATTGTATCGAAGAGCCATAAACCCACATACTGATTCTGAACGCCAAAGAAACACCAATCAATCTTCTAAGAGGTAGTCATTCTTCCAGGAACCAGGATCTCTTTCCTCAGAACCACACTTCGACAAAACTTATTGGTCAACTTGTTACTCAAATTAAACCATGCCTCCATGCAAGTGTAACAGCTGTCGCCACATCCCCCAGGCAAATATTGAAAGCAGCATTATATCACATTCCTTCAGCTCTAAGTTGTTCACTCGTGATAGCGTCAGTTTTCTCATGATCACTGTCATCCCCCCCAGAATTGTTGTAATCATCCTCATTGTTGACAACTTTCCCATTGTCATTTTTTGTAACCAAGGAGCCCTTGTAAGTCGATGACAGAGAAACTGGTGTCCCATCATCCTTTACATTCATTGAATCCTTGAAATTGAGATCAAGTTCAGCACCGAAATCCTCATACTTGACAGGTTCTCTATCATGTTGTTTTGTATTTTCATATATTCCATTATCATTCGAGTGATTTTTATTTTCTGCAGATTTTGACCTTGAGCGCCTTCGGTATTTTGGTTTGTGTTCATCTGAATGTCTTGGTGACATCCTACTTCCCTTGTGCCGCTTATTTTCACAGGATTTTGACCTGGACCGCCTTCTGCCATGGTCCTTTGATTTCTCTTCTCTACTTCTGTCATTTTTATTACTTGACTGATTCTTATCTTGTGGAGATTTGGACCTAGAACGCCTTTTGTGTTTTGATTTACTTTCGTCCAAAACTCTTGCAGACAATCTACTTCGTCTGTGACCCTTATCTTCTGCTGAGGCCGACCTGGAGCGCCTGCGGTGCTTCGACTTTCTTTCTCTGCTTTCATCAACTTTATCATTGGAGCGATGCTTACCTTCTGCAGATTTTGATCTGGAACTCCTCCTGTGTTTTGGTTTTATTTCATCATCACTCCTTGGGGATGACCTACTTCCCCTCCGGTGCTCTGGAGATCTTGAAGCTGCACGAGAAGATTTCCTAGTCCTATGTGTTGGACTTTCTCGGCGACGTTTTGGCGACTCTGAATCATCTCGATATGACTTTCTGGTTAGAGGACTAGTGCTCCTACTCCTATATCTCCTCGAAGCAGAAGAATGATGATCATGTAAGCGATCCGAATCCTGCCTTCTACTTTTCTCACTGCTATCCCTAACATCCCTATATGACCGCCTTTCACTTTCATAGCGGGAGTAATTGCGAGACCTAAATGGTGATCTGGATCTATGATCTCTTGAGACACGGGGACGAGGTGAAAAAGAGCGAGACCTTCGCTTTCGGCGATAACTGACAGGAGATCTAGACTTGGATCTTGACCTTGCACGGGTGGTGGATGGTGACCTATGAACAGTTGCAGTTGTCAGTCTAACAAGTTTTGGCAGGAATGAAACGAGGCAAATAAAAACAGATTAAATTTTAGAACACAACATGAAGGATAAATGGCTACTCACATGAAAATCAAATTCTACTCCTGTGTAAGCTTCTACCTTGGAAGTCAGTTATGTATAACCAAGAAAGGGGAAATAGGGAACTAATCACATGGAGAACAAAAAGCAAGCTTACACAAAGCATAAACAGAAAGCACAAGCACATGCAACCACGTGAAAATTCATTAAAAGGTAAGATGGATGAAATTGTCTCAAGCAAATATTCTCTCAACTTTATTATGAATTTGGAACTTCAAAAGAATTTACAAAACAATTAATCCACCAACAATAAAGGATTTTTAATAATTGTGCAACACACTGCCTCAGGTCCAAGCATGCACTGATATATGAATTATCCTTTAGGGGGCACAAAAGTATTTACAAAAATAACCAATGTCTATTCTGTTGTTACTAACAAAGTTAAGTGTCAAATATAGGTTATTTACAAACCACCACCAATTAGACAAAACTAAGTGGATGTTCTAAATTTAGGCCAATATTTGGACCTTTTCAACAGGGATATGTATGGGCTTTAGAATTTAAAAAGGAAATTTCTTGGTCCTATTATCAGAGATTGCAAATATATTTTTTTGGTTTCGGGGGATGTTTATATATTTCACAGACTATATTCACAATCACAATACATAGCAACCCAACAAAAATGTTGGAAAATTTGGGAATGTGGGTGACCATCTCCGTCTAGAATACCAAAATGTCAACCAACGAGGCAAAATATGTTCACAAGTTCCGGTAAACTCGATTAAGATAAGATTTGAAACATTTGTGTGTTATATCTGTTCAAAGCATAATGCGAGCATGAAATGCCCGCCAGGTTGCCTAAACATGGCAATAAATTTTTGCCCATGTGCAATGTTCAGCCAAAGAAAGGTGGCAATTTTCATGTGTTAAAATTTAAGATAGACATCAAAAGCAAGTAAAATATCAAGTATGCCACTTATTTCATACAAAACTGCATCAAAAATATTACCATAAAAAAGAGGCATTTTCAGATTAAATAACAGTATCCTTCAAATTTACTGACATATCCGTACATAAATTTTTTTCCCCGATAAGAATATTCATACATACACTTGGAAAGAAGCCATTATGCACAAATAAATAGTAACAAAGTTTTCTCCACAATACGTACGCCAAAAAATCGGATTTCAAGTCAGACCTACTTAATTCAAAACCTCAAATCACCATGCACTTTTCCCAACAATCAACTCGTGACACAACTGTAGCGAAACTCTGACTTTATCTGGCTTTTAGAGAATCTGCTAGAGTTTAAACAGATATTATTCTCCTCAAGGCAGAAATACCAATTTCATGCCCCCCAAGAAAAACTAAAAAACTACAATAAAAATTTTTGAATAAGAAAAAGCATATAAAACCATAGAAGACCCATATTTTGGGGTAATCATCTCTCAAATTCAATTCATAAGCCCCAGGGTACTTAAACGGTAAAGCAAAATGAGGTGCTTAGGCGAGAGGCAAAGCAAGAGCTTCATTGGAGCAAGGCGAATATTATAAAAACCAAGCACATATTTTCCCTTATTTACTGCTAAATACTCAAGTTCTATTTCTAAAATTCAAGATACTGCAACCAAATGCAGAAACATTCAAATTCAAAGCCAACACCAATAACATCTTGAATCCTAATGACAACTACAGGCATAAACATTTAAATTCAAATAAATACTAATAATATCTCAAATCTTAACAACTATCCACATTCAAATTCAAAAAAACACAAAAAATACCCCGAAATCTAACATTTGAGAACACACAAGTCAAGTCACTAAACATTTCGTTAGGTTCCGTTTCTCACTCTCATGCAGCCTCTTAATTCGATCAACATCTGTCAGTGAAAATATATATGCATAGAACTATACTCTGCTCTCCTAGGGCACATCCAATTTTTATCCAATTGACTAGATCCAAGGGTCCAAACATATTGACAAAGCAACAAAAAAATCCCAAAACGAGTTCACTTCGTCACCCCACGCTTAATCTAGAGCGCTCACTTTTTTCGCTTCAGACAACACGCCTCACCTTGGACCACTTGTGGCGACCTAGATTTGTCTGACCTCGCCTTTGCACCTAGGGGAATGCCTAGGCGAGCTTTTAAGAACCCTGATAATCCCAATTACTGTAAACATTAAGTTTTACTTTTCCATAATTCAAATTGACATAAAATGTGAAGAAAAAACATTATTAATTCATATCCCATATACGACGTGCCTAGAGGCATTAAAAAAACCAGGAAGATACCTAGATTTTTGTGTTGTTTCCTCATCTTCTGGCAAAAGTCCATCAGCTTTCAACTTCCTACTGATTTCTGCAGCTCTAGCTGCTGCTAGATCTGTCGCAGACTTCATGGTTGCAGCTCGGCTAGCTGCCTGCTGTGCAGCCATTGTCTGTTGCATTACAAGAGCCTGCTGAAAATGCATCTGTTGCATTGCAACTGCTTGCTGCATCATCACAGGCAAACTGGATGAAGACAGTGGTGAATTCAATATTGCTGGTCTAGGAGGTAGTGATTTTGCCATTTCAACATTCAGTGGGCGACCCGCAACCTCTATATTGTTCAATGCCAAAGCAGCAGTTGCTTCTTCAGGTTTTGAATATTCTATGTAAGCAAAATGCTTGGAATCGGTGATAGTACAATCAACCACCGTGCCACAAAAACTAAAAAGTTGTTTCAACTGATCCACTGTGAGAAGTGGAGTGAGGTTGCTAACTTGTAGAGTTTTCTTCAGGGAATCAGACTTGCACTCTCCGTCAGATGATCCTGATAACAAGAGCAATACAAATGGTGAGAAATCTGGCACCAGAAGGCATGAAGCATTGAATTCCCACTACATATAGTGCATGAAAAACTGGCAATAAAATTTGTTATTTGAAAATCAACAATTAATGTATCAAGTACTTGTGAGAATGTGAAACCATATTAACTAAAAATAATACTAATGTTATACATGGAACAATATAATTTTATAAACAAAAGAAGTTTGGTTTTTTTAGTTAAGTAGTTGATTGATAGCAAGAATAAACAACTTGTGGTGAAGAAGGGACATCTAGCTAATAGCCATCAATATGCTGTCACGCACATGGGCCATTCAAAATCACAATACGATAAGGTTTAAGGATACCAGAAGAGTCTCTGGTGGACAGAGCTTGAGCTTGCGCCTGAGCAGCATGGGCTTGAAGTGCTTGAGCAGCAACAATGGCCTGAGCAGCAGCCATTGCAGCTGCAGAAGGTGCCATGGGCATTTGACTGAGAGTTCCCATGGTCGTTGTGGCAGCTAATGCAGTCATTAACAAGTTGTGAGGCGGGTGACTGAACTTGCAATCTGTTTTCACACACCGTCCGTTAAGATATTCTCGGCACACTTCCCCAAGAGATGCCCCAATACCAGGCAAAACTGCCCCACCAGAAGCACCAGGAACAATTCCTGGAATCATTCCAAGCAACCCCGGGACAGCCCCCGAGAAAGAACCAGAGTAATTTGGCATGTTAGGCATGGTCTGGTTAAC